ACTCCTCCTGGAGGCTTTTGAACAGCATGACGCTCTTCGCCTTGACGTATATGTCGTGCCGTTCACTCGGCAGCTTCTCGAACATCTCGATCCCGTGGTCCTGCTCGATTTCAGGGTCGAAAGCCTCGGCGAAAACCGTCTTCCTCCGGCTCGTCGGCGCATTAGGTGTCACCTCTTGTTCCTCGTCCGGTTCGAGCTCGGCAGTTTCGACGGAGCTCACGACGACCCCCCTTTCCTTAAGGTGGCGAAAGTACGTCAGGCCGAACTCGGCCAAATCGTCAGGCTGTTCGAGGATGAACTTATAGGCGAAGTCCTGAAGCACGTCTTTGAAGTCCGACTCGTACCTGTACGGCTTGTCGGGTTTGACGGTCCTTCTGCAAGCCATATCAGTTTGAGAATTATGGACAAAAATCCCAATGAGAGAGAGAATCTATTCAACTGTATAATGCAAGAAAACGGCCTAAAACAAAGACTCTACAGGCAAACCAGAAAATTCTTAATAAAAGTATAATAAATCCACTTTTCACTGTGTTTGAATGTTAATAAATTATAGCAGATGTTATACAAACATCTTTTCTCTAGTTTTTTTAAACAACAGTATTATGTGTTTTTGAAAATAACTTAGTTTGTCGGAAGAAGACATTATAGTAGAGAGGGTGATCATCAGTACTGCCTAGGAGGATAACGAATCTACCCCCATTTCATATCTTCATCCGTAGAAAGATTAAAGCCCAATCACTAATGCAGAGACAATCTCCAATATCCTACCTGCATATAAAAATAAAGCTGGGGACTTAGTCCAAAGATACGGTTTTCCACAGAGGTTGTTAGACACATGATAACCGATCGGCGGTTGGATGGGCGCTGGACGAAGACATTCAGCTGAGGGCTTTCAGGATCCTTAGTATTGCTCGGCAGCTAGCCTGGGAATTACTGGGGCGATGTGAACGACCACGACTACTACTCAGGACGTCTTTTAAACTGCCACCACTACATATCTCCATCAGGGAGAGACTAAAGCTACCATTCACATTCTAATGCAGGTACATGCTCCAATAGCCTACCCGCATAATAAGAATTTATATAGTTAGCTATAGATTGAACAATGTCTCAGGCGGATAGAGTAGCGTACACTATGCCTGAAAGATCAAAACCAACGCCATCTACTCGGACAGCCTGCCTAAAGGCAAAATTAGTTCTAGGTCGGAAGGATCCATCATCTTTTGAAAAGTCTTTAGAAGTTTCAGTATTGCTCAGAATATATCGTCCTGGGGGGATGGGAACGACTTCCACTGCTGACCTGGAAATGCTCCTGAATACCACCACAACATATCTCCATCAACGAAGACACCAAAACCACAACCCCCCCCCCCAAACCAACAAACGAATAGTCATCTAGTCGGGCAGCCTGTCTAAACACAAAGGCAACCAGGTCGTCCCGTGCTTCCCAGTCCCAGACAAATATTTGTCGCGGTGGTCAAGATCAGTGTCAAGAGGCCTACTATTTATTCTTTAACCTATAAATCTGCTGAAAAGTTTTTCCGCCCCATTCCTATTCGGATACAGATAAAAAAAAGGTATACAAAAGAAAGATCCCGTAATTCAAAGATCCCTGTCCAGCTGAAATTGGAAAGCCGGGGTAAAGATCGAAAATCGGACGTGTAATTCAAGTGTCCTTTATTCGGAAAAGAATGAGAAAAAAGAAAGCCACACTCTTCTCTCGTTGGCAAAGAGCCACTCTTTATTATATTTTTTCGTTTGCTGACCGGCCAAAAAGGCCCAGATCCTTGTAAAAACCAGGCGACATAAATAATAAATTAATTTTAAAGCGTTCTATTTTGTATCGTAGGGATTTCCTGTTTTCTAATTTGTTTAATGAGTGGCAGAATTAATTAAGACAGAAACGTTCTTGTCTTTATTATCTAAGTCGAGAAAAAGTTTAACGGTGAGGCGGGGACCGGGGAAAACTTAAGCTGTTTTCTCTTCCTTTCATCGGGTCGAGAGAGTTAAAACGGATTTTCAAAACCGCCGACTCGTACTAGTTACCAGTAGTGAGCCAAAATTCTTTAAATTTTTGGTTTTTTATCGGAAAATATTATCAATTTAGGAATGGCAAGTATGCCTTAGATTAGAAGGCATTGAGTTTGAGACACAGTTTAGGGATTGAGCAAGGGACTTTCGGAAATGGACGTAACAGGTCGGCTAAAGTCCTTACACCGGCTTTATCCCTGATTAACGTCGTGGGCGAAATGGTCTCGGGGTGGCATGGGAATAAGCGTTAAAAGAATCAGTGCGTATAATTACTCAGTGTCATTGAATTAAAGACAGGACAAGAAAAAAAGAAGCGAAACTCGATTTGATCTGGAAATCCATCTTATCAGGATTAACAGGTGACAGGTAAAGGAATGTCCCGAATTGAAACAAATATAAAATTTCACCTGTATTTTAGCCAGAATATATTGATTAATGAACACTGATCAGAATGAGTTTTAGAGGAGGGGTGACGGTAGGGATCGAACCCACGACCTCGGGGTTAACAAGAAAAAATTAAGCGAAACTCGATTTGGTCTGGGAATCCATCTTACCAAGATTAACAGAAGACAGGTACAAGAAATTTCTCGAACTGAAACAGATCAAATTTCACCTGTATTGTAGCCAGAATATATTGATTAATGAACACTGTTCAAAATGAGTTTTAGAGAAGAGGTGAAGGTGGGGATCGAACCCACGACCTCGGGGGTAACGCCCCGCTACGGTCACTAACAGTGCATATTGAAAATAAAAGACAGGATATACCCATAAAAAACGACCGCCTCGTTTTTACACGAAAAATTGGCCAACTTTGGAAATGCAGATTTTTTCAGCCTTTTAAAGCTTAAACCAGCACTAGGCCTAATTTTTTTGGAAAATCTTACGCTGAACTGGACTTTTTACGAAAACTTCAAATAGAGGTGTGAAGCCAAGAAATCGTCCTGAAGCGGTGTTTTTTCATTTTTCAATTGGTCACCTTCATTTTTGCTCGATTTCTCAACCATTTTCGAGTTATTAATGACTTCGGGGCAAAAAAGTGCTTTTTTATGTGCTCATGGATAAAACCGATCACCCTCTATCCCGATTTTCAAGATTCAAACCTCAATTAAAAAGAATAATTAATTGATAAAAAATAAAGTTTAATAGCTTATTTGCTTTATGATGGCGTAGCTACGGCTGAGTTTGCATGTATCTGTTTTGTAATTAACGCTGTGTGTCTCTATTTATGTAAACCATTACTAGGAAGATTGGTTCATTTTTTCAGTGTTTTGTTTTTGAATTTTGTCGAAATCAATGTTGTTGTTTTACCAAATTTGGTCTGTTCAATGCTACGGTATTGGTTTTTGGTGTCTTACAGTCACAAATCATTACTATTAATTAAGGTTTTTAGTTGACATGAAAAAAGTTAATGGCATGAGCGGGATTCGAACCCACGATCTTCGGCTTGATACGCCGCTGCTCTACCACTTGATCTATCGTGACCTCGATCCACTCGGACATCAACTTCCTATCTCATCCCCACCTTATGAGTTTTCTCTCCTTTTTGCCATTTTTCAAATGTCGTGTAATCGGTTTGGATTCTCGACGACAATTGAAATGGCCACGGAGAGCTTTAGTGAAGTGTACTTCATATTAATTGTTTAAATTCACTAATTTCGTGGTCGCTTTCGTGGTTCGAATCCCCCTCGTGCCATTAACTTTTTTTTATCTCAACTAAAAACCTTAATTAATTGTATATTTTTAAAGTCTAATAATCGAATAGTTGATTAATTAATGTAATTTAAAAAAAGAAGAAGAAGCAATAATTATACATACGTGAAAAAATCGGAATTTTGAGAAGCAGCGAAAAAATACGATGAGACGTGCACATTAATACACATCAAATACACCTAAAAAAACTACTAAACTTTCAAGAAGGCCAATAAAACCTTTAAAATACTATACTTGTAATAGTGTAATGATTATAAGCCAGATGAAAAGAACAATATGCTCAAAATTAAATGGAGAAACCACTTTAGCTATCGTGACTTCGCTCCACTCTGACACCAATTCCCCATCTCAACCTACAACCTTTCGAATTTTCCCTCTTTTTTTTTCAAATGTCATGTAATCATGATTCGATTCTCAGCGACTTATGAAGTGGCCACGGAGAGTTGTTAGAGAAGTGATACTTCTTTTACTTATTAAATATTAATCCATTTATGTTTAGTGGTCTAATTGACCAAATTATTTAATTCAATTTTTCATTCTTTTTACGTAAGGCCTTGGTTGAGATTGAAAAGGTACTGTCACGAGCAGGATTCGAACCCAAGACCTTCGGCGTTGAAAAATGGCAAAAAGAGGGAAAATTCGAAATGTTGTGGTTGAGATGAATAGTTGGTGTCCGAGTGGATCGAAGTCACGATAGCTCAAGTGGTAGAGTAGCGGCGTATCAAGCCGAAGGTCGTGGGTTCGAATCCCGCTCGTGACACTGGCTTTTTTATCTCAACTTAAAACCTTAATTAATTGAATGTTATTAATTGGTCACGCGGACCACGAAAAACAGTGAATTAATGAAATAAGTAATTTGGTCAATTAGATCACCAAACATAAATGGATTTACAAATTTCCTCGGATTTTAGATTGTTGTGTCTTTGACTTTGAAAAAAAGTGTGTGTGTACCGTTTTGTGTTTTTTAAAAGCTATTTTAATGTTTTCTGACGAAAGAAATTTACTTAATTTCTTAACCAAGTGTGGACGATTGGAACGGATGTGTATATTGGTTTGTCTTTGGGTAATTGGGTTAATTGTGTTGTGTACTGGAGAATGTTGTTTTCTGCCGTGATGTGTTATAATTGTTTATGATTCTGTTGATTATGTTTTTAAGGTAGTTGAATCTTATTAATTAAAACTCCGTTAGAGTAAAACCTTCTGATTTTTTTTTTCAGACCTTATTTAGTTTTTTATTTATTTTGTATTTTTGTGTGCAGGTATTACGCCATCGTGCATCCGATGAAGGCCAAATACGTTTGTACGATCCGCCAGGCGAGGAAGATCATCGTGTCCACCTGGCTGTCATCTTTTCTGCTCGCCGTGCCGATACTTTTCATCCAGGTGGGTAAATCGATCCTGGCGTTTATTTTGCATTGGAAGAGAGGAGAGGAAAGAGAAGTTTTACTTTATCCCAAAACAAATGGGACTCGGTTTTCCCTCCGCGATTGACAGACACGTCGCACTTTTTGCCTTGTTTATCCATAAAAATAGGGCCCGTTCCAATTTTACAGTCGGACACCTTTCTCGCTGAAACAAATTAATTAACAAAAACTTTATATTTCTTTTTAAAAAATCTCTCCAAAAAAATATCCTACACGTTTTCACGTGCTTATTCACTAGCCCGCTCTTAAGTCACAAGAATGCTTTTGAATCAAAATTCATTTTTGAATCCAAGTTAAATAACCGCCCTGCGGAAGAGACTTTTTAAATAAAGGATGTTTTATTGTAAAAGATTACAACAGTGGAACCTACACTATGACGGACAGAACGCAACAGTAAGAGTGAGCCCCTTCTTAGTAGATACACGGGGTTTTATACATATTTGTTTAATTAGTCGAATTAGTTTAATTGGTCTAAGGGCTGATGTGTTTAGTTGCAATGATAAGAAGGGGTAAGAAGGGCGCTTTATCGCCTCTGGCCCCTAGGCTAATTAGGTCCTGGATATCTGGCTGGCTGATAATCTGTCACCTCTGACCCGCTCGACTTATCTGAAGTGCTGGTTGTCTATAGGCGTGTAGGTCGTTTCTATAACTTCCATTAGAAGCATTCAGTATTGTCATATAATCGCACGAAATCTACCACCCGGGAACATACTTTCGCAAACGTTTTGAATTCGTAACACGTACACCACTTTCATTGACATGGTGCAAATAAAATATGTATTGATTTGACAGGCAGAATGGGATCGCTACGTGTAACTGGAAGAGAGGAACTTGGCGATGTTGTTGAACTGGTCGTTTTTCCTGTTGTAGCGGTTCAGTTTCGTTTGGGCAGAATTATTACCCTTTAATATCCTGATCTCTCTCTCTTTCTTTCTATTTATCTACTATTACCCTTTAATATCCTAATCGATCACTCTCTCTCTCTCTCGCGCGCGCGCGCGCTTTCTACTCTCCCACTATTTATCTTACACTCTCCTTTCTCTCAATCTCTCTCTTTCTATAGAATAATAGATATATCTATCTCGATCCTCCACTCTCTTTTCTATTTCTCTTTCTCTCAATATCTCTCTTTCTATCTCTATCTCGATCTTATTGTCTTTTTTCTCTTTCTCTCAACCTTTCTCTTTCTACATCTAACTCGATTTGGACTATCCTCTCTCTCTCTCTCTCTCTCTCTCTCTCTCTCTCTCTCTCTCTCTCTCTCTCNCTCTCTCTCTTTCTCTCTCTCTCTCTCGTATATTATATATTTCTTTGGTATAGTCTGCACTGTTATTATTAAATTTTTTCATACAGCGAAACCGCAGATTTTAAAAACCATCAATCATCCGGTGTTTCTTCCGATTAGTACATTCTTGCGTTATGTTGCGCGGAGCATTTACGGGTGGATAAAGTTCTTTAAACAAAATAAAGCGAATAAACGAAATATTTTCTTTTAGAAGTAATAATACCCCCGATATTAACGACAAAAAAAAACCTTGATAATATGTAACTCAAGTAGAGCAGAGTGCGGAGTAAGGTGTGCACCTCTTCAAACACAAAGAAAAAGAGAAAGGAAACAAAAAAACAACTAAAAACTGTTCTGGCACAAAATTTTTATTAACAATATTTTAAAAGCTATTTACATTCAACGTATTAAAAATCACCTCCGATCGCCACTCATTTTTTAATCATTCCTATCACTAAATATATAAAAATAATAATATGTTATGAGCTTAAGGGCTTACTTTTCGAAAATTTGGTTTTTCTAATTCTCGAACAAGTCCCCTACAACATTTTTCCGTACATCACCTACCAAAACGTCACTGGGGCAGCCAACCATATTTGGCTCCAATCTCCTGTTATGACAATTTTTAAAAAAATTATCCTTGTACTCTTTGAGAATAACTCATTCGTCAAGAAGTCCCTAATTCGAGCCTAATCGTATCATTAATAATGCAAAATAAATTATTTATTTAACGATTAATGTTTTTATAAATTATATTATTTGATTGATGTTTACTTTCTAGAAGTGGTTTTTTTAGTTCATACTTATCATATTAAGAAGAAAATGTGTATATTTGAGTTTTTAATTATCTTTGCAAGGAGTAGAGTAAAATCATGTTTAAACGAGGCAAGACAAGTTTAACGTTCGTTCTCCAAATTCGATTACACATCATTGATTTCACATCCGGCTGATGAAGGTAAAATTCCATTCACAAATTTTCCTTAATCGGATCCTCGACGATTGAACAGTTTAGGCGAAAACTATGCAAAAAAAATCCATAAGGATCATTTATGAGATTGGATAAAGAGAAACGATTTCGTCTTGATTGATATTCACAAAACATTCATAAATAAATCCGTATAATTAAACTGTGTAGTTTATCATTGGAAAAAACCAAAACATTTCCACAGCTGATCCCTTCCTTATTTCAGATAATCAAATTTTATGTCCCAAATTTCGAGTAATGAATAATAATTAAAACCGTTATGAAAAATGTTGATGCGGAAGTAGCTGTTTTTATGAGAAAAGAGGATTTATATTTTAACCTCCTCCCCAACTGTGAGAAAATGAGAGGTCTTAAAATTGAAAATGAAAGCGTTCAGCGTAAGACGTTAAGTCTCTTTAAGTAAAATGAGTGGCCGTTACAACAAGTACTTCAAAACGACTCTTATCCTCTTTAAAATAAATGTAATCGTTCAGTGCACAATTTAATTGCTTACACCGAACTTAAAAAGACTCTGCCAGTGATAAATTGTTTTTCACTGAAGCACCAGACGTATTCTAATAGCCTTCCAATAACGTCTATAAAATATCATGGACCGCCCCTGGAAACGGTTTTACCATCCTCGTCCTCAAACTTCATCCCAAGAAAATTGAATAATAAGAATAATTTATGTGCATCCAGTGAATAATTCACCTTTTAAGGGACCCGCTTTTTTTTTAATCGAATCGGCTCCTTGAAATGTCATTTCAAAATGCCCATACCTGAAATTGAATTGAGACATATTAAGTTGTGGAATTTTCAAGTATTAATATATTGATGTGAATTATATTTATGTATAAGTTTGTTTCTTACTATCAATGCCTCTCTCTCTCTCTCTCTCTCTCTCTCTCTCTCTATATATATATATATATATATATATATATATATNTATATATATATATAAATCTACCTACACGTCTAAATATTTATCTGCCAACTCATATGTATTATCTACATATTTATCTACCTAATCATCTACGTAACTATTGACCAATCTATAAATCATTATTCAGGGTGATTGCCGATAAGTGACGAAAAGTTCAGGGGGTGTTTCTGCTCACCATATGCAACAAAAAATTTCCTATAAACCCATATCCAAATCTCAATTTCAGGTTTTGGGTGTTTTTTAATATTTCGACTAGGTCTACTAAATCGCTTATAAACTTCAGAATTACTGACTGTATAAAAATGTGGTTTGTGTCACCTGAAAGAACGTTAAATTTGCTGTAAGGAAACCTATTTACATTGCAGAATTGATGAAAAAATTCAATTACCTTCCCCCATTCTTCGGGTGAAATAACCAGTTTCCTCGGTAAAATTGAACGTACCGCCTTCATCGACACCGTTTTGTTTCTCAATAAAATGCAAAATTTTTGGGCTTTCCAGAAGTGCAATCCAAAAAGGTTGGTATACCGCTGGAAGCCGGAATTGAGAAGTTTTGAGAGAATTTGCAAAGCTCCCGGAGTTAGTAGTTATTAACAGTTACCAATCCAACATTTAAAAATATTCCAAATGTCAACATTTTCGTTTTTTTCTGAATGTTTCGTGCAGAATTTTATTATCAATTGTGCAATTTAAATAGGTTTCCTTACTGAAAATTTAACGTTCTTTCAGGTGGCAGAAATTAGATTTTTCTATAGACAGTAATTCTGAAGTTTATAAGCAATTTAAGGGACCTAAGTCGAAAAAATAAAAAACACCAAAGATAGGTCACACCCGTCTCACGCACGGTCACCTCTTAGTGGGTAGAAGTCAAAAACCAAAAACCCACTCTGTACAAACCCGGTATCGGTAATAAATACCTATTAGAGGAATGTAATAAGTTAAGAGAGTATCGAGAACGGTGTGACCTACCATCTAATCTGGAAATAGTTCTTAAGCATAACAGTGACTTCAAAGATAATCTTATTAGGTACTTAAAATTGATAAATACGTATGGATACATGTAACCAACCACACGTGGTATACCTCCATTTTGCAGTGTGAATGTATTTATTAGCGTGGGTGATGAGGTATGTCTGGGTGTGGTTGTGACTGAATATCGAGTACCTGAACAGGCCCGCACAAATTAGTTTAGGTAATTATATATTTGTTGCGTGATTTGAGGGAAGGTCGCGCTATCTAGGTTGTAGTAATACTGCTATGATGCTGCGACTTCTCCGTTATGAATGTATTTATTGGCGTGAATGTTTTGTGTAAATGGACGTGGATGTCGAGGAATATCGAGTACTCCACAAGCCCGTCAAAAGGAAATTAGTCTAATGGATGAATGAAATTCTGTACATACTGTATGAATGTATTTATTAGCACGAATGGAAGGAAGTCGGTAGGATTATGACTATCTTACTGACTTTTTATTTAGTTGTAGGGGCAGGACCTCAGTCGTGCACCTGTACTCTGAGCCCTGCCAACTGTAGATTAGGTGATCATTTTCTTAGAGTGGGTGGGTATTGTTAGTGAGTCTGTAAACGAGCAAAAAAAAAAGACTAGCCACCTCGCCCCACGTTACACAAGGCTCACAAAAGTGCATGCTTTAGTTGGAATGCAATTGATTAGGGAGGAGTCAAAATACTTTACCCAAAAATTTCTTTCGCAAAAAGTTTACAGCGAAAACTCCATATGTGCTTCAATCGGCACATATGATTGTCTCAGATCTTGAATCTTCTCGCTGTTTTGCCTTGTTTTGTCTAAAATTCTTATTCATCAGCCTACTCACTTACTTAACTATCTGTTATTTAATGGCTTTACGCTTAATGGCGTTAAAGCGGGCCAATAAGGGATTTCAATCAGTACCCTGGAATCAAGTTCAAGTGAAGTCAAGTTGAAGACTTCTTATCGAACTCGAAAGCAAACTTAACCTTCGGGGGGGGGGGGGCATCACCTTCAATCCCCCAATGACTTTTCTTCCTTCTTTCTTCTCAAGGACTTCAACTTATTGAATTTTGAATTATATTATATATAAACTTTATACATTTTGAAACAATTCAATCTTCTCTTAAATTCATTAGCGGGGGTAAAACCGCAATGATTAATTACGTTTAATGGCTTTAACCACCACATTATAAAGGATCGTTAGCGTGTCCAATATCCAATACCCAGGCTTAAATAGTCCGTGTAACAAGTTAATCCTTTAATATTTTCCTCTGAATATTTCATCGAGTAAACCTGCTAGGATCAACCAGTTGGATTTAAAACCTGCCGTATTAATTTGTCTTTTTACCTTCCAGGTGGAAATGAAAGTCGGAGACAGGGTGAAGGCGCAGTGGTGCGTCAGGAATTGGTATTGGACGACGGCCTGGCGGACCCACGAGCTTTACATGCTCTTAATTGTGCTGGTCATCCCGGCGACCGTCATGGTGATCACGTACACGGCGATCTGCAGGGAAATATGCCGCGTTGTTCGACGCCGGTACCATATGACATCGGCGAAAGGGTATCTAAACGGACTTTTCTCTTTCTCAAAATCCTCTTTTGATTAAAACGACAATAAAGGATGGATTAAGTATGAGTCTTTGTAAGAGTCAGCTCCAAGGGATTTCAACATGAAATGAAATGTTCTTTGATTAAGATAAAGACGGGCCAAATGGAAAGAAAGAAAAGAAAATGTCAAGAAAACAAAATTTACATTAATTTATATTAATCTTTTTATGTTTATTCTTTTTATGTAAGGTCTTGATTGAGATGAAAAGTTAGTGTCGCGAGTGGGATTCGAACTGGCGACCTTCGGCTAACAATACACCTCTGCTCTAACCACTTGAGCTATCGTGGCACTAAGCAGAAGGTCCTGGGTTGGAATGCCGCTCGTAACACTTTTTCCTCTCAACCAAGACCTTACATAAAAAGAATAATTTATTTATATTTTTAAACGTCTAATAATAGAATAGTTGATGAATTAATGTAATTTCAAGTAAAAAAAAGATGCAATAATTATACATACATAAAAAATCAAATTTTGAGAAGCAGCGTAAAAAAATACTATAAGAAGTTGTACACATTACTACACATCAAATACACCTCAAAAAACTACTAAACTTTCAGGAAGACTAATAAAACCTTTAATAAAAACTGTATTTGTAATAGTGTAATGATTACAAGCCAGATGGAAAGAAAAATATGCTCAAAAGTAGGAAAAAAAAGGTTTTTTGAAAAACTGTAAAACGTCTTGAAAACTAAACAATTTTTTTATATAAACCTGAAAAAAACTAACTTCCTAACAAAAGATACCAGATTGGTTAAAAACCAGAAAAAAAAACGACTCTCACTTATTACTACTGATTAATTTAATCTCCTTATATTTAGTAAAGATGTAAAACGTCTTGAAAACAAAACAATTTTTTCATATAAACATAAAAAACTAAACTTCTTTAAAAATATCGATTTTGGTCAACAAAAAAAAAAACTACGATAAATGTCAAATACAAGCTTACAACAAAAGAGAAAAAAATGACATTTGTGCTGCTAACTTACTAACTTTCCTTACATTTAGTATAGATGTAAAACGTCTTAAAAACAAAACAATTTTTTATACAAACCTGAAAAAAACTAAGTTCCTAAAAAAAGGTACTAGATTAGTTAAAAATCAGAAAAAAACTACTCTCACTTATTACTACTGATTAATTTACTCTCCTTATATTTAGTAAAGATTTTTATATAAACCTGAAAAAAACTAACTTCCTAAAAAAGATACCAGATTGATTAAAAGCCAGAAAAAAACGACTCTCACTTATTACTGCTGATTAATTTACTCTCCTTATATTTAGTAAAGATGTAAAACGACTTGAAAACCAAACAATTTTTTCATATAAACATAAAAAAACTAAACTTCTTTAAAAATATCGATTTTGGTCAAAATCCCCCCCCCAAAAAAAAACTACGATAACTGTCAACTGTTTACAACAAAAGTGAAAAAAATTACATTTATGCTTCTAACTAATTAACTCTATATTTAGTAAAAATGTAAAAAGTCTTGAAAACAGAACTATGGTGTTTTTTTTAATAAACTTCAAAAACTCAACTTTCTAATAAATACCAATGTTGGTGAATAACAGAAAAAAGTCCATCAATTATAAATAATCTGGCATAGAACAGAAATGAAAAAAAAACTCCTAGATATTACAAAACATGTATCAGTCATGATAACAAAACAGTTTTTTATATAATCCTCAAAAGTGTAGTCAACTTACAGAAAAAAGCATATTAACCATATAAATTAAATTATTCATTGATTAATGAAATTTCTTTGAAAACCAAACAGATTTATTTTAATATATTTTACTTTTGATTTTAAGATAAATTGTTACTTTGAATTAATTAAGGTTTTTAGTTGAGATAAAAAAAGTCAGTGTCACGAGCGGGATTCGAACCCACAACCTTCGGCTAGATACGCCGCTACTCTACTACCACTTGAGCTATCCTAACTTCGATCCACTCGGACAGTAACTTCCCATCTCAACCGCACCTTTTGAATTGTCCCTCCTTATTTGCCATTTTTCAAATGTCGTGTAATCCATTTGATTCTCGACGACAAATGAAATGGCCACGGAAAAATGGCAAAAAGGAGGGAAAATTCAAAAGTGTGGGGTTGAGATGGGAAGTTAGAGTCCGAGTGGATCGAAGTCACGATAGCTCAAGTGGTAGAGCAGCGGCGTATTTAGCCGAAGGTTGTGGGTTCAAATCCCGCTCGTGACACTGACTTTTTTTGTAAGTGTTATCTTCAGTTGAAAATCCTCAAACCCTGGACCTGAAGGACCTTGTAAATAGGAAAAAACACTATTTGATTTATTCACACGGTTTTTAAAAAATAAATATAAAGACATATTTTAATAAGGTTGTGTTTGATTTTTTTTTTTTCAGGAATCTGACCTGCGAGAGTTTCCCTCTTGCTAACACAAATAGGTCAACCAAGTTGAAATTTAAGTCGAAGTTCAAATGTGACGACGCCGCGACGGTGAGACAGGTGTGTTAATCCTTCAAAAAAATACCAACACTAATCTGCCTAAATCTAATTAATTTCCAGTCTGTTTTAATTTTATTTCATCCATTTTTAAAATAAGCCCCTGTAACAAATTTGTCACAAGAGCTTTTCCTTGAGTCTTTCTGTTTTTTTCTTTTGTTTTCACCCCAGCTTTATTTTTTTTTTCTTTCAACTAAGCGAAAGCATTCTAACCCAAAGTCTTATTGTTCAAGATGTCGCACTACAAGAGCGAGAGACAGGTATGTCGATTAATTTCAGTCCATAACATTTTTTTTTAAATTTAACAAATTAATAAACTATTTAAATAATAATAATATGGTTTCGGTTTATTTATTGACAGAAAGCTTGCCCTATTTATTCTTTGCATCCAGTTTTTTCTTTTTGTTCTTTTTTTTTTTTTTTTTTTCGCAACATTGGAAAATAAGACATCCTCCAGTTTCCAGCCGTTTTAACATTGAGTACGCGAAGACTTACGACAGGCCAAATATTTATTATTAAATTATTCATTGATTAATGCAATTTCATTGAAAACCTAACAGATTTGTTTTGTACTGCATGAAAACAATCACGATCATTTGGTTTTAAACGAAAAAATAAATCTTTGATTCACGATTAGGTATTCATTAGGTAAAACATAACAATAATCGGATCGTTCACCATGTCAAAGTCCTTTTTTTCTTAATGTATATTCATAAGAGAATACATTTTCCTCAATTTTAAACACGCTTAAACCATTTTTATTTTCATTAATATACTTTTCCTTCAAAATAATATGATTATGTTTATTTCATTTAGCTTTATTAATAGCATGAAATGTTAATATTAACAATTTCTAAACTAAATCATAACGTCAGTTTTCAATTTTTTTTAAAAAGAAATATCTGCCTCACAAACTACAAATCTAACGTTTATAAGCATATTAAAACATAAATCAAGAACAAAAATGGATTCATGTTGCAATAGGCAACTTTCCATTTAAAAAAAAAATTGGAAACTAAAAGACAAGCTATTGATGTTTCGGATTAAGTATGTGGTCCAAAAAAATTTTATTATGCCCTCCTCAGCTCTAGATGGTTAGTTAAAAAGCAAAAATAAAAATTAAAGCTCATATATATCAACAAAATTTCATATATTTCGGTCGTTTTTTCTTTTGTTTTTACTTTGTACAATACTAAGTTTTGACTGGTTAACAAATAATAAATAATTTAACCAATAAATAACTCCATTAAATAATATAAATATTATTTACAGTAAATCATAATCGTGACGAGATCTAATCTAAAAAGATACGATCATTAATTATTAATCATGGCTGGACAATAAGTCTCTCTGATAAAAAACAAACTATCAAAAACATTTCTTTTTTCCCTTTAATTACGTCTGGAAGTGTCGTATTACCAGAGAACCATGTATTTGTAATGTAACCATTAGCCAAGGGATGTGACAAGTCCATGCATGTAAAATCTTCCTGGTGTTCTCTTTGAGAACACTGGGCGTCTAAGAAGTCCCCCCGGGGATAAGTCCGGACGTTAAAGATCCTCATGGGTCTTAATATCCAAGAGTAAAAATGGGAACTGAAGCTCTCCTGAGTTATTCCTCTCCTTTATAGTCGTTCAGACTTTTTAGGATGTTCTAAAGACAATACTAGTAAACCTATGTATCACAGGGGCGATGAGAACAACCCCTACAAACGCATTAGAAACTTTGCTAAACCTACCTCCACTGGAAATATTCATACAAGGAGAGGCTAGGAAAAGCTCAATTAGGCTCCAGAAACAATTAAATTGGAAAGGAACTAAAAAATTCGGGCATACAATCATAATCAACAAAATCAGACACACATTATTAGAAATGGGGACTGACTTTTTTTTTATCCCGGAAACAATCTTCACAACTTCCTATAAAGTCTCAACGGACTATAAAGGAGAGGAAGAACACAGGAGAGCATCAGATACTCTCATATATATATAGAGATGGCTCCAAAACAAACGAAGGAACCGGATCAGGCGTTTTCTGTACAAGCCCAAAACATGAGCAATCAAACTCATTAGTGAAGTACACTTCGGTCTTTCAAGCGGAAATGCCATCAGTGCTTGTGCCCTGGAAAATCTTCAAAGAGGTTACATTGACAAAAAATCCTCATAAGATCAGACAGCCAAGCAGCTATTAAAGCATTAGCATGTAAAAGAATCACATCAAAACTAGTCAGTGAATGCATCCAAAATGTCCAAAACATGGGGGAAGACAACAACCTGATGATATCTTGGGTGCCAGGGCACAAGGGAATTTTGGGTAACGAGAAAGCAGACAGACTGGCCAGAGGAGGATCTGCAAGACCATACATAGGCCTCGAACCTATTCTTGGGATAACAAAAACAAATATAGAATCCTCCATCGCAGAATGGATCCAAGCAAAACAAAAGGAGAAGTGGATAAACTCTAGCGGTGCTAGACATAGTAAACTTATGATGAAACAACCCTCACCGAAACTAGCAAAACCACTGCTGCAATTGGAGAGGGCCAAACTCAGAGGAGTGGTAGGACTACTAACATATCACTGGTGCATTACACAACATGGGTATATACAACGATGATCCCATTTGCAGATTATGTAATGAGCAGAAGAAAACAGCCACTCATATCATCTTCGAATGCGAAGCAACAGCTCAATGGAGATTTACCCTAACGTACGGAAAAGACTTAGGGAATCAAATTGCAGCAACAGTCAATGACCTGATACATACTAAGAAGAAGGATTGGGTCTATTGGCTGAACTAAGGAACTAGGAAGGTACAATAAGCCAGAATACAAACCCCGCTTCCTAGTATCCTTTTCCACCATACCATACCGTACTAAAGACAATTCCCATTTCTAATGGGTGTATGATTTTATTAAGGTGTTTAGTTCCTAGCCAATTTGATTGTTTTTGAGCTTTTATTAGCTAAATGAGCCTTTCCTAGCCTCACCTTGTATAAATGTTTCCAGTGGAGGTAGGTTTAGCAGAGTTTTTAGTGCACTTGTAGGGGTCGTTCTCATTGCCCTTCTGATACATAAGTTTGCTAATCTTTTTATGCTGCCTAGTTATTGAGTAGCTACTTTTTGTTGAGGTATGGTCCGAGGTTAAGGATCCATAGGTTAATGATCCATAGTTCCTACAAAATGTACTTTTGCCTCACAAGCTTTACTTAATATTTTAATAAGTACGATTTATTTTTGGTAATTCCTACCATAAGTTAGAGCCATTTGTTCATGTATTTTCGAAAGAACAGTTTATGTAATTTGTAGTAAAGCATTTAAAAGGAAATGACTCCTTAATTAAAATAGAGCATTTATTATGCGTTTTGTAAATTAAAAAAATATAGATTTTTACATATAACTTTCATTTTTTTATAAATTTTTGGTTTCTTCTTCGTGAAATTACATATTTCTTTAATGATATAAACGTCGATCGTGTTTTAGAAATGACAAAAAATCTTTCTCAATATCTTTTTAATGCCCTCATGGAAATATTTTCATGTTCAACAGAAATGCTCGCACGTCCATCTCAAGTCCAATAAAGTCTAAACGCGTCGCGGATATTTTTTTTCTTGTCTGTAACTTTGTCGATGATTATAATAATGCCATGCTACAAATGGCCCGCAACCGATTATAAATTCATTACGCGAAGGCCCGCTGTATATGCGTCGATAATCGATAGTCAATAACAGATGCGGTCCGATTTCTCACATGGCGGATGGCCCAGGGAGTAATTATTCAAATCAAGGAAAGCACTTTTCATCTAGAACCCCCCCGGAATAGTCTAGCCTGAAGACGTCTCGTTTAGAATGAAGGATCGGGATATATTTACATATAGATTTGATTCAATTCACCTAAACCGCCAAAACGCTGCACTGAAGGCAGCCGCTTCCTAGTATCCTTCTTATCATCATCATCTTAAATCCAATCTTAGTCCTTATAACAATCTGGCAGTGAAGAATTGGTAACTCAAAACAAAGAAAAATTACATCAAGAAAGAACGAGAGAGATGAGAAGTATGTAAAAAAAAAGAGCGTTTTGACCAAAACATTGTTCACTAATGGCATATTCACGTGAGTCGGTTTATCTTTCAATCGGGGCAAAACGCAATACCGGAATAAATCAGTTTCCCCTTATGAAAAACGTGTAACAACATCCCGGTTCATGTGAAAAATCAGTCGGATAAAAAGGAATCGGGTCATACACCATCTTGCTAAGGGCGAGTAGGCACTTTTACAAATTGACTTCCGGCGTTTATTTTCATCATATTTTTCATCTGGAAAATTTGGATAAAATCAACCGTTAGCCCTATTTCCAGACCATATTATGATAGAATTCCGGATGTAAAAGTAAATTTTTATCCTCCTCCCCAGACTAAAATAAATAAACCTATGTATATCCATTTATCCACCCTTGGATCCAGTGGGCCGTAACCGCTAAAGAACGTTTTCCCAGGTGATCAAAATGCTGGTGGCAATCGTCATTGTCTTCATAGTCTGCTGGGCCCCTCTGCTCATCGACAACGTGCTGACCTCGTGGGAAGTGCTGCCCAGGTTAAGGCACGGCGCTCTCAAGCAGATGGCAACCTATTTCCACCTTCTAGCGTACTTCAACAGGTAAATTTTATATTTAAGTTTTTTTTGTTTTTTTTTTTTAACCGTCAGACATCGACAAAGACGTCCAGCTAAAATTATCAAGAAAAATATCAATCAATGCAGCAAATCGATTTTCCACAACAAGCCACAAATATTATGTGGCTAATTTACTTTACGAAAAAATAGAGCCGAATCGGTTGAACACTCTTCTTTATTTCTCCAATTCATAAAAGGGGGGAGTTCCGCAAGGCAACATTCTTCCTCCCAGTTTTTATTCAATATACACTATAGACATTCCTATCAATCCCGCTACAGCTCAAATTGGTTTATTTTTTTACTTAGGATAATAACTTGATGAAAGATGGTATTAAATGAGATTGGATGTATACAGAGTTGCAAAAACCAAAAGACACTTTCAGTAAAATAGGCGAATAAATTTATTTATTAAAAAAATCACTCGGACTTGTTTTAAGCAGCCTTAAATATGTACTTGTATAGCAATAAAAACGTACGTTTTTTTCGGCTTGAATCTTCGTAGGCAATTTGATTTTCTCTCTGATTGAGATCATCTTCAGGGCCTGGGATTTATAAACATTGTTTAAATTTTACAAATACATGTAGGTTGTGAAAAAAAAATAATACAAATACAATGCTAGAGAATTTTAGATTAAAAAAAATGAATTTATACAACGTGATGGAATCTAGAAATTTTCATTTTTTTTTACAACCTACAAGTATTTGTAAAATTTAAACAATTTTTATAAATCCCAGGCCCTGAAGATTATCCCTCAATAAAGATCGAAACGTTGCCACGAAAAAGAAATTTTTTCTAAATATTTTTCTAAAACCTAAGTCACACCAGACCGCATCTCACGATATCCGAACAACCAAAATTTTAAGGCTAATTGTTTCTGCCCCGTTTTACATAAACAATAACGCACTTCACAGAGATCTTCACATGCCGACAGTTTTTTCATCCATCAAAACATATTACTGACGTTTACTGACGTTTTCATAATAAATGACGTAATCACACTAACACAAAAATACCACGCTGAAAAGAATATAGATAAGAGATTTCTTAAATGATTAATGGCTTTTATTAATCCAGAGTTATCACTGGTTAGCTTTCTCTATAACGCCCTTAATGCCACAAACATAAATTGAAATCCAATCTGCTGGTTGTACATGTTATATATATNAGAACGACATAAAGATTACAATTAAACGTCTTAATACAAAATACAATACAAACTCCGTCGTTCTTCCTTTTATTATTTCTGGCCCAAAACCTTCTTACTGCCATCACCCCTCCTCCACACGTCACTTCAGTCCGGGGGTTGACGTCATTGCTGTACATGCATCTTCCCACATGTATATGTATAATTTGAAGTATCAGAGGGGAGGGATATGTAAGTCTGTATGTGTAGGTAGGTTCGATACATAAAATGGAGCACCTATTAAAGACTGGTCAGTTTGAATACGGTGGATGTTGGCTGAACCTCCACACTTCCAGTCCGTAAGTCCATACCGGCTTAACTATCGTGTTGTAAAGCAGCATTTTACATTTGAGAAATAAATTAGAACGTTTGTCAAGAAGTCGTGCACAAGCTCTACATCGTGTCATAACCTCCTGACATTTCAGTCGTGTGTGGGGATTCCACGTCATCCGTTTATCGTTGCACAGTCCGCGGTACCGCACCTTCTCCGCAGTTGGGAGGGGAATATTATTTAACAAAACAGGGGGTGAGATCTTTTTACGTAGAGAGAAGGTAATATGGGTAGATTTGTCTGTGTTAAATTGTATCCTTTTCTTTTTACTCCAAGTCTCTAGTAGTATGAGGTGTTGGAGGTTTCGAGTGGAAATGACTAGGTCGGAGTTGCTAGAGAGAATTGCTGTATATTCTGCAAACGTGAATGCGGTGGGTTCGGGATGTGATGGCATGTCGGCTGTGGACACCTACATTGTAGGGGCCAGAACACTACCCTGAGGAACACCACAGATAGGTAAATATGCAGAGTAGGAATGGCCTTCGATGACTTGGAAGAATCGGTCAGTGCGGTAACTGTGCAGTATGAGATACTGCGCGGTGGCACTGTTGGACAGTTGAATGACGGTTGCGAAAACCAAATTGATGGTCTGGGATTATGTTTTGAGAATTTAGAATCGGAAAAATTATTGTCAATAGTTTTTCTGCATTTTACCCAAAGTGGGTAGTATACTTATTGGCCTGTATGAAGGTAGTACAGTTGGCTTTTTTGGCTTAGGGAACATTCGATTATACGAGTGCTTCCATGCTATACGGAGGTAGGTTGTACGAAGAACCGGATTAAATAGGCATGTAATGAGTATGATAACCTTTTTGGGAAGGTGTTGTAGATCATCATAAGATCAAAACCCGGAGATTTCTTTGATTTTAGGTGTTCTATGGTAGAATCAACGTCAGAATGTGAAAAAGCTTTAGAATGGAGGGATAATGCAATCATAGTGTAAATATTCCTTGTGTGAAGTTTGTGAATAAGTATGGTCTATGATGTTGACATGTGGGGTGAACACTGTGGTCAGATAAGAAGCAAAAGCATTCGCTTTTTCCTCGTCTGACATGGCCCAACTGCCGACTCGGCGAAGCAGGGTTGATATTTTGTGCTAAGATAGAAGATTTCTAGCTGCCGCCCAGAGCGATTTGTTATCCGTTGTTAGTGCTTCAGTAAATCGAAATTCCATGTACAGTGGTGGATAAAAATAAATGAATTAATAAAAGTCTACTTTACTGAAAGCGTATTTTTGTTTTTGTAACTTTTTATATATCTAGTTTCATTTAAAACGTCCTTACGTATTATGTTCTTATCATGCGTAAAAAGCCAAATCGACTGATATATAATAACGTTGTAATATGAGCAGAACAAAATGTTAAAAGTTAAAATGAGTCGGTCTCTTTACACCTCTTTACCTTGCTCACCGCCACAAATATTCATTTATTGTGCATCTTCTATTATTGTCTAGAGCTTAATTGGCAAGCTTAAGGCTTATTGTCAAATCCTAAAGTTTTCCTAAGGGCTGAAAAAAATCTAAGGCATTCAGAGAAAAATTCGAGAGGGAAAAAGGATTTTTTTGATTTTTCCCAAAAATTTGTATTTGTTGGTTTTGCAGAGTGCGGAAAACAAATATCGACATTGATTCTAGGTTGAAAATATATATTAGCGATTTTAATAAAGCCCCTCGGTCTCAAATTATGCACCATATGACAAAGCTCGCCCCTTGATTGCCTTAGAAAATTTAGTTTAAAAAAATACTTAAAAACAAAAGTTTGAAAAATGGCAAAAAGGCGGGAAAATACGAAATGTGGGGTTGAGATGGGAAGTTGGTGTCCGAGTGGATCGAAGTCACGATAGCTCAAGTGTTAGAGTAGCGGCGTATTCAACCCAAGGTCGTGGGTTCGAATCCCGCTCGTGACACTGACTTTTTATCTCAATCGATACCCTACATAAAGATTAATTAATTGAAAGAAGTTATCTGGCCAATCGGACCACGAAATCTAATGGACCTAAAAACAAATCGTACTTGGACACTCTCAACACGACACACTAGAATGGACACATCTACACGGAAAAGATACACTTTGAGCCCTGAAGATGATCTCAATAAAGGTCGAAACGTGCCATGATAAAGAAAATGTTTTTCTAAAACCTAAGTCACACCAGACCGCATCTCACGATCTCCGAATAATCTTAAAAACATAGTTGATATATGATTTGTGTACCCCCCTCCAAAAAAAAAAAAATTGTCAAAATAAAAAAATTCCTGAAAATTTTGTCTTCCGGTTTTTTGAAAAATTACGAACATAGTAATAAATTTCAACGACTCCTCCGATCAACAAGAAACTGTACAAGTTTAGAACTATTACACGGTATTGTATAAATTTGGCCTTTGTAAATAAATTAAAATTGTAGGTACAAAATAATAGGTACATAATTTTTGTTTATTTCATCTTTCATTTACACCGGACATCGGAGACAAAAACGTTAGTTTTTTGTTTGCAATGAAGATTCATATTTAACAATGCATAAAACAAATTTTTTTCAACAATAATATTTGTTGGCCTAATTTACTGAGTGGGTGAGCATTAATGTTAGCACTAATATAACTTTTAGTTCAAACTCAAGTTACAGCGTGTCATCATTTAGCCACTAAGAACTTTTCTCAGGTGTAAAGTTCCCCCCAGGGCGGCGGTAAAGTGGCTTTAGGATGAGTGACAATGTGCCCTTGCTCTCCTTTCCAAGCTCCGAAGTATGTAAAGTTTGCGCAAATTAATTTACATACTGTAAGCGAGAGTTATGTTTGCCGTTTATTACCTTTGAAAAAGCGAGACGAAAAAGTCAGGTTTTTCCAGAAAAACACGCCTGATGATTGCGGGTAAATAAAAATCCCCCCCTTCTTTCGATACCGAGATCTGAATAAACAAACCGGAAAATTTTCCGTAGTTTCAACCCTCACACATGCTTTTTGTGGTTTTTCCTCTTGTCCAATACGCCAAGGGAAAATTTACATATTCGGCTTAAAATCTATAATTAGATTGTTCCTCCATTTCTCTTCGGACATGGACCTTTTTATTATTTATCAATAGCTCTTTGTTAAAATTTACACATTACTACAAAAACTCCAAACGAAAAAAGTTAAACCCAATAAACCTCATTATTTTCTGTTTTTTTCTGTAAAAATAAATTCCACTGACAGAAACACTCAAAGTAATTTAATATTCGAAATTCTTTGGCAGTTTCCCTCTCATATCTCAATCTCAAATTGTGTAATTGAATCTCAGGCGGAGTAGTTTCATAAAGTTGCATCAACCCTCTTGGTTAATAAGAGAAAGTTGAAAATTGAATTGATTCGTGCACCTTTTTACATTTTAATCAATTTCAACGTTCACAGTTAAAACCTTTGAAATTTCTCGTGAAGATAGAAGATACATAGATAGATGGATGGATAGATAGAGAGAAAAACATGAGAGCATTTCACCAAA